GCAAGATAACACATTTTATCAACAAAAGTACACAGTATACTGAATAACAATTTTACACTCTGCTGAGTGTTATCTAAGACCTCATGTTTAAAGAAGGGTGTCGACTTAAAAAAAACCAGTTGAATTGGTGAATGGAGCGTTTAAGAAATCGCCTCCCAAACAATTCGGTTAGTAAACATTTCCGTGTTATCTGTTTATTTTTATTTATCCTTGAAAAATTCTTGTAGAAACAAATTATCGTCACATCGAAGATGCTTCTACAATGTAATTTGAGTTCGTTTAGTCGTAAAATTCGTGATTTTTGGCTTTTAAACATATAAAGAATTCGGATTTTATCGTGTTTTCTGAATCGGTAACTCTATAATTTCCACGTAACTCAAAGATCATATTAAAAACAGATTTCTTAAGAGATTCTCAAGCAAATAAATACCAATTATTTATAAGATCGATCATATTTCAGTTAAAAATCGATCACAGAAACGATGATATCACGATCATACGATTCTCCAACTATTAAAACATGACTCAATATACGAATATAAAACTTAATTATCCCACTTATATAGTTAAGTAATTTAACTAGCAACGAAACTGGTTTAAGGCGTATAAATGTTACATATTATAAAACTAGCATTTGTTACGCTAATTATTAAAATAATTTTCTGATTTTGCAATTTTTAAAAAGCTCTTTCCTGACAGACAAACGGACTTTCTTTAATCAATAAAGTAGAAAGACCAACTTGTGGTTTAAATCTTCGAATGCTTTAAACTGCGATGCTTTTATTATTACTGTTTTTCATCTTAAAGATCATGAACTCATGTCGAGAAACACGTCAGCTCGAGTCGACACACCGATGAAAACATGTTTGTTTGTAAATGTCAAAGGTCAAACGCTGTCGTCAATACTTTAAAGTTTCCATGTTTAACTCGAGTTCTAATGGTTTTAAAGCAACGAAAGAGAAGATGAAAAATTAATTAAAGCTACGGAAGCGTACGATGACAAAAACAATTTTTTAAAATCAAAATGGAAACGATATTAAGGAATTCGATATAACGGGGATAAAGATCAAGGTCAATATAACACAGGTTTCTGTTAAGCCAAGCACGTTTCTAACCTTTCGAATTATTTAGGAATAGTCAAATGGTTCTCTAGAAACAATCTAGTACAACGGGTTTTTTATTTAATTCGTGAGCTATCTGGTATCTGAGATTTTAGAATGTGTGTTACGCTTAAAGATAATAGACCTAGTTATGAAGTTATCCTTAGGCTTTAAATAGTGTTTGATAAGTCGAGAAATATGTTTCGTTTAATATAAATTTTAGGCCCTTGAGCCAAGTATAAATTACTTCTTTTTATATAATAGTAATATATACTTAGTAATATTTATTTTCGATGGAAGATACGACTATTTTTTTTAATATTTAAGAAACAAAGGAAAGATTCTTAAGGGATTAAGATGAAAAGGAGTCATTTTTTAATTTAAATAATGACTTAAATGTTTTACAAAGGAAATTAGTCATTAATGATTTAAGATGAAACGGTTTAAGAAAAAAATTTTTCTGATTATCTTCAATGGCGATGTACTTTTAACAGTTTAATGTGACTCTTGCATCAAATCTAGATTAGTGATTATAATGCACTTAATACAAGTAAAGAAAAGAAAATATATTTTGCATAAATGTAGAATTTACAAAGTTGAGGGGATAAAAATGGAAGCATTATTAGGAATAAGAGTTAATGACGATAGCTCTGAAGTAGTTCAATTAATTACAAGCATCGCCAGATGGATGTAAAATGCAAATGGAGAAATTTGCCTAATTGCATCTTGCATCATAACCGGAAAATTCTTTATCCTAGATTTTAGGATAAAAGATCTCGTTAATAAAGAAAAAAAAACAACAAATTGCCTAACGAAATATGATGAGTTTCACGCGATTAAACGAGTTTCGATCGAGAAATTGATTAAGTAAATAATTTTCCGTTTTGAGTAATTTAATAGATTAATGAAAGTTTTATTTATTTTTCTTCAAAATTAAATTTCTTTTCAATAACAATGTACGATACACCACAGCTTTTAAGACCAGATTGGCTATTGAAAAATTATCGTAAATCGAACTCTAACTTCTCATAGTCACCATGTTATAAATAGAGATTCTACACCTAGAAACTGAACTATATATAACTACTAGAAAATGATAACGTGCTTGAAAAAAAATGCTTCCATTAAGCGTGAAATATAAGCCGAGAATAAGCCATTTTGGAAGCAAATTATTATCCAAAATCGCTTCCATTCTCTTAATAATCAAACTAAATTTTAATAGAGCGAAGAGTCTGCGCATTATACACGATAACAGCACAAAAACTGCGATATCCCATCTTAATCGATACCAGATATATCTTACATTTTATAAATAGAGTAAAGATTATTCTAGATTAAAATATTTTCTTTAAAAAATGTGAGAAAGTTGCTTTACAATTCACCAAAAGAAAACAGAAAAGCTATATTTAAGTCTCGACGATACAAGTTTTCAGCTTTCAGTTTTTTTTTACATCTCATTTAATTATTGTTTAAGGATAATTTTATATCTCGCAAATAAGAAAAAGAAATCCAGAAATAATTCAAAACTCGTTATTTTGACGGAAATGGCCCTATACAAGTTAGGTCGAATGGGGGTCAGATATATAGAAATCATAAAAATTTCCTTATTATTTATAGACACTTATGAGTTTCCGTAGACGAAAACTAAATTTTGATATCGAATTAATACGTAATATATATAGGCCTATATGTAATTTTTTTTTCCTTTCGAAATTAAACTTCTTTAAATCCTGTTTTCCACGATTTACAACGTGTTTTTCTTAGGAATGCCGTTTTAGAACTACAGCAGCCAACGCAGAAATTATTCATAAACTTCCTGTTTGATGACATCAGCTCGGATTGAAACTTAACGATTATCTCAATATTTTATGTTAAAATATAAATATTTCTCCTTTAATTTACTAAATATAATTGCTATATTTATGTAAAAAAAATTAAAATTTGCCTAAAAGCTTTTACCAGCTTCAAATTTAAACCATTCGAGGAAATGGCCGAAGTTGCAGTTTTGAGTGAGTTAATTACAATTATTTTAATAGCATATTAAGTTAGTAGCCTTAAAAATAAAGCAAATAAACTATATTTAATTAGTAGAATTTAATTAAATTTTACAACGTGACACGATTGAAGAGTGAATCGTCCTTTTAAGGTCACACTTAAGAAGGTGCCCAAGGTGAATTCGTCACTTTGAAAGTATCTATGACGTGTTTTCCCACGTTTGAAAAAAGTACACACACATTTTTTTCTATCGAAAAAAATTACAAGTAAATACTTTCGTTTTCTTTGATAACACAAGGTTAGATGTAACTTGGCAGAACTAAATACTAATTCCATATTTTAAATTACCTATTTCTAAGAGGGAGGGAGGAATCATTGGGTTGGTCAATGACATTTTACTTAGCGATGAAGAGACGAATCTCAGGTATGAAAGTGGGTCAAGTGAATATTGAGGACAGACCAAAGAAAAAAAAAGTAAAAGAAAATTTTCTAAGAAAACACTACCTGCTTATGTTAATTGAACTTTACCGTTTTATATCCAAAATAATTCGCAGGAAACTGAAACAACCGCTTTAAAAAGCGCATTGCGTTACACAAACACACACAATAAAACCATTTTGAAACCCTTTTTAAAATAATTTAAACATAAAATTACTAATTGAAACGTTTATCTTTTTATTCTTTCAACGTTTTTTTTATGCAGGGAATTTTAAAAGGAAACGTGAATAATTGAAAATTCCTTGGCAAAATAGAATTCAAACTGATGACCTCGCGTAGTTAGATTTTAATCATAATAAAAATGTTAATAAATCAATAAATAATTTTTAAAATAATAAATATATGAATTTTTTAAATGGTCAATCACCTATTTCTTCCTGAATTGCTTACATTTTCGATAATAATAATAAAAAAAAATTACTAATAATTTTTTAAGTTTGACTTTTAATTCTTTTAAAAATTATTATTATAATGTAAGAAAAATGCAGATGGCGTTTTTAAAAACTCCTCCTCACCCACGTGACTGATTCCCCCCCCCAAGTCTAAGTTTAACGAACGTCTTTCAGACTAGAAAATGCAATCGTCTAATCGTTACGTCGTTCAGCGAATTAAAAAAGATTATTCAAATTTCGATTTTTTTCCCTTTTTATAATAAAATTCGTGAATATTAACGAAATCAACATGACGTCATTATCAAATACCTTTTATACTAATTTTAAATGTCGTGTCCTATATTTTTATTTTGAAACAAGAAAAGTGATTTTCGTGTAACTTTTCTAAGATAAAAATTATTGTTTACTGTTTTAAATTAAATTAATAAATTAAATTACTGTTTTGTTTTTCTCTTTTTTAAGAAGTTTTTCGAAATTTTCTTTTTGGTATCTTTTACTTAAGTTATCTTAAAAATTCGTTTTAGGAATTCCTCGAAATGTCCTCGTTTTTCTTAAAAATAATTAGATTTTTAGATGATTTTTAGATTATTTTAATGATGATTGAAACACAAATTAATTTTTGGATGATTTTAATGATGATTAAAGCACAAATTAATTTTCAGGTTTTAATGATGATTAATTTAAAGCTTAGATGAATTTTTGGATGATTTTAATGATGATTAAAGTACAAATTAATTTTAATGACGATTTGAGTTAACATTTTTGTGAATTTTTTTAACTTTCTGGATGACTTTAATGACTATCTAAATTAATTATTTTTTTCTTTTGATGATGTTTAAAACCCACATTAGTAACAAACAGACGATGTTTTAAGGTTTTAACACATTTATTTTAATTTAAAATTATTAAAATTTAATTTAAACACGATTTTTGGCTTTAAAATCAAAAAATTAAAATCACAATTTTTTCATTTAATATAATAAATACTTTATAATAAATAATAATAAAATCTTACTTGAAATCGTTCCCGAGATAATAACAGCAATAATAAGAAACTGTAAATGCAACATGTTTATAAGCTTGGTATGGAACCGCCGTCGATGCCCTTCTTATTATATATGACTCTTCTTACATCGTCACAGATTGTTCGTCCAATGGCGAACGAGTTTTCTTTTCGAATTTCTCGTGGCGTGTCGTCATTAATTTTATGAATGAATCACTGCTTGCCCCCTATCTAACAAGCGTGGATTGAGGTGAAAGCGGTGAATACACTCGAATAAATTAACGACTTCTATCGTCTTTAGATTGGATTTATTCCAATAAAAAGTTTTATAATATTTATAAATAGAATATAAAATNAACTATAACATACTTATTTATATTTTTTGCAATAGTTTTTCTATACTTCTATTGTTCTTTGGTGAGAATTAGGGTAAATTAGTATGCCTTAAGCATAACCGGATGTACTTGCAGGTAATTTCCCTGCATCTAAATCAAAATTCACTCTAAAAAACAATAAAATTAATTATGATGGAGTCACAATTTATTAACATAAAACAATTGTTTTAGAGAAGGGTAAAAGTCTTAAAATAAATCAAAAAATTAACTTACAGTTTTAAGCTTGAGTCATATTTCACTTAATTGTAATGAATCTGTAGGAAGAATTTTCCTAAAAAAAAGTTAGATTTACATCAAAAATTATGATTAAATATTTCAAAGAAAAGTCGAATTATTTTGTATAACCACGACTTTCCTATATCCGTAATCATCCTGGACATCCTTTAACACTAGCAAGTGGCAGGAAATCCCAACTCTGTGTGAAACCTACTTTGAAAAAACAATTTTTAAGTGTTATACCGTTTGATCTCACTTTCTACGAATTTGATCTCACAAGATTAATAATTTCCTTGGATTTACCTCGAAATTCTTTAACTAGAATGACGGATGTTTATCTTCATGTGCAAATTAATAATTAAAGAATATTTAATATAAAAAAACTGATTAAACTTATCAAATATATTAATTCTATATAATTATAGTGTTATTTAGGAAGATAATTAAGTGTAAAATTAATGATGATAATGTTTGAATCTTAAAATAGTAAAGAATAATTGATACTTTAATTATCTTAATTGAAAAGTAATTTAAAGTTTGTCTTAACAAAAAAAAAAAATATATATATATAAATGAACAAGTGTTTAATATGAATTTTATCTTAAAAGCTTAGCATCATTTTATTTAAATTATTAAAATTATAAAATTATTCCTCTCTCGATAATCTCTGTACGTGTTTTAGAATAATGAGTAATTTGTGAATTTTTAACTTTGGTTTTAAAGTTTGTAATTTGAATAAATGGAGTTGGAAGTCAATGTTTTATAACAAGTTTTAGTTTTATTAAATTTTAAACTGCTTAANATTATAAAAAACATTTTAAATTATTAGAGCATTTTTACAAGAATTAATTAGATAATGCTTATAATCATACTAATATGAACAATTTATTACATAACCCTATATATGACAACTTTAAAATTCTAATTATTAACTTACTTCCTTTGAGCTAGTAATTTTATTTCTGTTTGTACATGTAAATATTCCTTAGCCATTTTTTTATGAGTTTCAAAAATTTCTACTGATTCCTTTGATGATGGTGCAGGTGGTAAAGGCTTTAAAATTTAAACATAAATAGAAAAATGCTTAAATATTTAATATTTCACTAATGAATATGTTTTATGTAAAATAATTTACCTGGAGTTTTGGTTCTAATAATAAATATGCATTCCAATCTGAAGGATCTCCATCATTATTATAACCTATAAATAAATGAATATTATTTAAAAATTTCAATAAAAAAATTTTAAACAAAATAATTGTCAAGTTGATAAAAATTTCTATTCAAAACTTAGGCTATTTTCTTAATATGTATTATATGAATAAGACAATTAGTTATAAATTATTAAAGTTTATCTTTGCTAGTAAAAATATTTCTTATTAATTTAAACATATATTTAATAAAAATCAATGTTGACAGTCTTTCTGTACTACTTTTAATGTCAACCTGTATTAAAAGTATAGGTTTCAATTATCATAGTAAGTATACAGTTCTATCTCAAACATATTTATTTCCAAATTTATTTCCCCCCTGCATTTTCAGTCTAAATTTAATATATTTTTCATGTTTATCTCAAATAATTTTCTCCAAAATCTTTATATTTCAAATTACGGATTGAAGTGTCAATTACAAATTCAAAGCTCAGTGACTTTTGACAGCATAAGTTGCAGTTGAGAAATATTCCTTGGAATACAGTACGTAGTTGCTTTTCTCTGATTGCCTATAAGTTCAGCTTGAGTCTTATTGGTCAAAGAAAGTCAGGCATTGAAAACTATTGACAAACTATTTCTGTTAAGATACATCAAAAATGTTTTAGTTATACTTAATATAGGTATGTACTATACTTTCTATTGTATTAATAAAATACCTTGTCTGTAATCAAACTTCTGTATCTAGAATTTCATGGGAATGAGAAAAAATTTAAGATAAACAGGTTGAACTGTATATAGATGCCATTCATTTAAAAAAAAATATATATATATAAATGAACAAGTGTTTAATATGAATTTTATCTTAAAAGCTTAGCATCATTTTATTTAAATTATTAAAATTATTCCTCTCTCGATAATCTCTGTACGTGTTTTAGAATAATGAGTAATTTGTGAATTTTTAACTTTGGTTTTAAAGTTTGTAATTTGAATAAATGGAGTTGGAAGTCAATGTTTTATAACAAGTTTTAGTTTTATTAAATTTTAAACTGCTTAAAACTTTTAATGCAATTTATGTTTGCACTCCTGACAGTCAAATAACTTAATTTTGGTAAAAAATTAGATTTTCTTACTTCAACTTTCAATATATTTTATGATAAATTGACAATAAATATGTTGGAATTTTAATGTAAGAGGTGTCAAGAACAATTTGTAATTTAATCTGTTTTTATTTGTATAAAATTTAAAAAAATACTTGATAAAATTGCAAATATTTCTACATATTAGTGGATCTTTAAAATTACACATAAAATTTAATAAATTTCACATGTGAAAAATGATATGTAATTGAATAAATGATATGTTAAATGATTGTTTTGAAGTAAAAAAGGTGTAAACAAACTGATTCATTTGTTTTACTTCATATTTTATAAAATTACAAGTTATGATTGCAATTTTATAAAATATAATGCAACTAATCTAATAACTTGTCACTTATTCATCTTATTTGCAAGTGAACTATGATGCTGACTTTAGCTTTTATATGTCATTTATAAATTGATCAATATAAAAGTTATTTAGTCTTCTTAAATGAATTATATAATACTGTATATAACAAAGATTGAATAAAATAGGAAAAAATTAATTTAAAAATACTGAATTTACTATGTTTATTTTATACAAAGCTACAATGTAACAAATGTTCGTTTCTCCTTCCACAGTTGGTACTATAAACATGAATGGCATTTTCATACTTTATACAAATTTTTTGTCTTAATAGACAGTCTTTTATTTTTTTTGAGTTATTAGACATATTTAGTTGATTTATTTAGGCAGACAAAAGTTTTACACTATTGTTCTGATGTGAATGCTTTTCAGTCCACCATGACCCAATCATCACTGTTATTATTTACATTTTTAGAAAATTGGCGTTTTCTTTGTTCGGCTTTGATTAGATCAATCTGAACCTGCAAATTCTTTTTCAGTTTCATTAGACTATCCTGTATAAAAAGAAAACATTATAATACATAATTATATATCTAAATCTTGGATAGATTAACAGGTTTAATTTATCCAAAACTTTTTAAAGTTTCATATACCTTTTCATCTTTTAGCTGAAGATATTCTTCAAAATAAGTTGTTGTTTTCTGTTGATCTTCTTGTAATTCTTTTTCTAATTCACTCCTGTTAAATAAATTGTTTTTATATGTATTAATTTGGATAATAATAATAAAAAAAAAGCCATATTCTATTTTTCCTATTTCATATTAATCTTCAAACTAAGATTACTTTCAAAAGATGATTGCAATACAATAATTAGTAAAAAACAGTTATACTGTATTTAAGTTAAATATACAAAATTATACAGATTGAAAAATAAATTATCAGTTCATTATTTGCAGTACAAAATCTATTTGTTACCATAGTCATTGTAGTCATTATCCTTAGATGAACAAAAATTTCATTCATTTCAAATTTTGAATAAATTTTAGATTTGAAATACAATTTCAAATCTAAAATTTCTTTGAAATTTAATCTCGTAATTTTATTACATATACCCATTTATTTATACGTTCTGTTACTGGTTTTGTCATGGATTTTAAAGAATTAAAAAAAAAAAAGCCAATAGCTTTTAATTCTTTAAAATATCCATTTATGTTTTTCNTAACAAAAAGCATATGCTGATTAGTAATATCCCATAATAAATATTAATTTGCATAAAATAATTGTGAAAAGTTCTATACTCAGACTATTTTATTAAATAATATTGTTTTCTTATTTTTTGTTTTTATTTGCTACTAAATTTTCTTTAATCACAATATTTTCAAATTCAATTTTCAGGATATTAACTCAATTTGTCACATATACTTCTGTTACTTTTATTAACTGCATTTTTAGTGTTTATACTTTGTGTGTTTTATGTGGTAATTTATTTAATACTAATTTAATTGGATTACTCTTTTCGTCAATGTCCACAGAGTTATAAATTTAACTTTACTTTTAAATTATAAAATTGAGATTTTTCTGTATTTAATATTTAAAATATCCATCTCAACATCTCAAAAAAATTGAGAATTTATCATGCTTAAAGTATTCTCCTTTCACTCATGCATCACATTCTTTCTGGAATCCATTATTAGAGAGTTGTCATTGTACTTTTCATCTGGTACTTTTCATCAACATCAGTTTTCTGTACTTGTGGAAAGAGAAAGAAATCACTTAGTTTAATTTCAATGTAAATCTGTCTCTGTAATAAAAAAAAAAACACTTTGGTAGACATATCTCATGGCAATTTTGCTGTGAGATACGTCTATCAAAGTGTTTTTTTTTTTTTTATTACAGAAACGGATTTACATACAGCAAATATATTAAGGACACTTAGTTTAATGATTATGAGAGATGTGGTCCGATTTCACCTCCAACTACAACTGGCAGCACAATATTGGCAGTTGGTAGTTTAGCAGTCATGATGGTTAAACTATTTTATGTTAATAAATTCTGGACATTTTTCACAAAAGAATTGACAGAAATTCATCACCACTTATGACAAATGGTGACAAGATGTCAAATAAAGAGGAACTGACATATTTTCCAGAAATTTGCATAAAAACATTGAAATAATTCAATATATTAAATGATAGCCTTTTGAAATAAATCTTACCTGAAGAAAAAGACCATGATTCTCTTCTGGGCATGTCTGGTGACTCTTGAGGTAAAACCTGTTCTTTAGGATGTGAAGATGATGTCCGGTCAGTATTCTGAATATTTACATCTCTAATTGATTGGTTAAGAAATTCATTTTGTTGTGATGTTTCTTTTATAATAAAGGAACCTGAACCTGTTCTGTGATGACTTTTATCTATAAAGATAAAATATTTTATATAACACAACATGATAATTATATCATCATTATTACTATTATTATAAAGTATTTATTATAAATTAAAAATGATATTTGCTTTTCATATAAAAAAGTTTTCCAATACTAAATATATATAGTTAGAATAATTCACCAGCCTTTATACTTAAAACAAAATCAGATCAGCACTTAAATTTTCCATAATCTTTTAATAAGCATTTTTGATTTTTCAGGATTAGAAATAGACAGAATCAATTGTAATATTATGTAATGATAAAGATAATTTGAATTTAGGATGTAATCAATTAAGAATGTCATCATATAAAGTGACATTCTTAAAACTGTTTTTCATCTTTTTTTTTTTTNATGAACAAAAATTTCATTCATTTCAAATTTTGAATAAATTTTAGATTTGAAATACAATTTCAAATCTAAAATTTCTTTGAAATTTAATCTCGTAATTTTATTACATATACCCATTTATTTATACGTTCTGTTACTGGTTTTGTCATGGATTTTAAAGAATTAAAAAAAAAAAAAAGCCAATAGCTTTTAATTCTTTAAAATATCCATTTATGTTTTTCTTAAAGACGTAAGTTTGGAGAAAATATATCCTATTGTCTCTAAGAACTATGTAAAAATTTTCATAGATATACAATTTGAAAAAATTGAAAATCATCATCTGCAAGGTGAATAATGAAATGTATTTAATAGATCAGGAAGAAATCGTTTTTTCTAATTTGACTAGTTAAATATCTGCTAATTACTAATACAATAACTTCTGCTAACCCAGTCTCTTAATTATCTGACATACCCTGATGTGATTGCCTAAACACTTCCAAAAATAAAGGTTGTGTCACACATCCTATGTTCCTGTTTAATTTTGTTTCTTTGCATAGTATTGTTTGTCAGTGCAAGATATTTGTCTGCCTGCTTCCATAAAGAGTCTGCACTGAAAGGCTTAAGGTTATGTCATTCATTGTCTTTAAGCAGGCTTTAGGTCTGTACATTCTTAGTAAGCAACACTCTCCCTAATCTCACACCCTGTGTACAAGAATAGCTGAATTAGTGAGAATTTAGTGTATCAGCATTAATCCTACATACTTTTTCTAGAATACATTAAGTATTTTATAAGCCAATTCAAATCCTCTTTATCTTATTCTAAAGTATTCTAATTTTTATATGTAATGTAAATGATTTTATATTCAGAAAGTATGTTGCATGGTAGGCCTATAACACTACATATGATAAGTAGCATTTATTTTCTTAGTATGTTATACAATGCATGCTTTTATACTTTAACCTATTTCTTATAATAATTGTTTGGTCTTTAGATGTTTACAGGAATTTTTTAAAGTATTCTACATTGACATATGTACATGTTTAAATTAAAAATGCACAATAGGAGGACTATTTAAGTGATTATTTCCATGGACCATTTACTGCATATGCAATTACAAAAACTGGATGTATATAATTTTAGGAGAAATTGTCTTGGATCTCTAGATATAATAAATTCAAAACTATATTATAAATAATATGAGAATTTTATTAAATTATATCAAATTGATTACTGTAATTAAAATAAATATATAGGTTTCTAATATTCTATTTGCTATATATTCTCTCACATTTGGCTCAGATACTCCTTCAGGGCTGCAACATTCTTTTACTGGTGTCCTCCCCAAATTCTTTGAACTAGGTTAGTCCAAATGTTTCCCATGTGACATCTCAGAACTTTTTTGGCCATTGCAAAATCTTGAAATTGTTGTTCTGAAACCACATTTTTACATTGCTGTATGAATTTGCACCTTGATTTTGGAAAATCCACTTTTTACCTCCTATTTCTTATCCAAATAGCAAAAGTTCTGAACTAAGCATAAGCAGTTCAATGCAATCTTTATGATCCTGTCATCAGGTTTGTCCTCCCATCATAGCCAATGCCTAGCCAATCAGTGAACTTCCACTCTATCCTGCCAAGTTGAGTACATGTGATCTAACTATCACAGACAATGCCAACAGTATTAATAACCAACAGACCCATCTAAGTTGAATTTTTTTTCACCGAAAAAGATTGATGATGTCCATTTTGTGGAGTATGACATAAACTCTTTGTCCCATGAAAGACAACATCAATGCTCCTCTATCCATTGAAAATGATAGATAATAAATATGTTTTTTCTTTTTGTGCCTAGAGTTTGGATTTCTTAACATCTTATAAATTGTCTGCCTGGTAACATGGATCAGTCTTAACTATACAGTAAGACCCTGCTTAATGCTGCCTCAATTAACGCTGATTCAATATAATGCAGTCTGCTCAAAGCCTAAAAGAAATCTCTAAATTTATGCTGATTCAAATTATCGTGGCATTTCATTGATGCATATATAATACGATTATTCCCAAACACGAACCAATCAGCAAAAGGTGGAAATTTGTCATAGTGCTGAACTTTCCTTAAATCTATGTTTGTGTGGTGCAATTTTGGAAAAAATATAATATCATGGATGCCATAGGAAATATTGACTTCACTTGGCAAGAATTAACTGATAAATGCATGAACGAAGTGTGGAAGAAGTTATGGATGAAGGTATCCAAGAATTCTCAATGAGAAGAGCCAATTGCTGTATCGTTAGGTTGATAAAACTCAACCTAATTGATACAGCAGGACTAGGAGATGTAGATGAACAAGATATTGAGGAGTTACTGCAGGTTTCTGGTGAGAGTCTTATCAACGACAACCTTTAAGAACTAGCAGAACAAGGAATTCATGTAGAACTGGAAAATAGAGATTCTGAAAACTAAGAACCCAAAGAATTTCTCTACAGATTTCCTTAGTAAAAGTTTGAGAATGATAACTGAAATCGTTGATCAAATTGTAGCAAGTGATCCAGATTTTGAAAGAAGTGCAAAAGCAAAACGAGGCGTTTTGGATGCAATTTTCTGCTACCGACATTTGTTTAAGGAAAGAAAAAAGTGACAAATGAAACTACACGACTTTATCGCAAAAAGCAAGAATCTCAGAAGAGCCAGAACCTTCATCACAAAAAATGAATTTTAGATTTCTGTGTGCATATGTTTATGTGTTATTTAATATATATTATTATGAAAATTAATATAAAAATAACTTAAAATTATAGTAAAATTTGTTTATTTTTGGTTGTGTGTTCNACATAAATAGAAAAATGCTTAAATATTTAATATTTCACTAATGAATATGTTTTATGTAAAATAATTTACCTGGAGTTTTGGTTCTAATAATAAATATAGTAAAATTTGTTTATTTTTGGTCACATGTTCCCCTTTCCCTATTTACTCTATGTTAAAATGACCTTGTTTAACACTGTTTTGCTTAGTGCTTTGTCATTTAGGAACACACCCCCATGTTAAGCTGGATCTTACTGTACTTTAGAAATGCATATTCCTTTCTTCTTGAGCTCAGAAATATCATCCTGCACTGACAGCTTTATTGTCCTTCTATTCTTTCCATGCACTCTGGTGTTTTCAGAAATGTACTAATAAAGCTAAAACTTATATCTATAATTTTTCTTGTTTCCTTCACTGCCTACATTATTGTAGGTCAAAATGTGACCTTGCTCCTGTTCATTCAGTGGGAGTCCACCAGGCATCTAAATAGTCATAATGAAAGATATCATCTTAATTGCCTGCTTTCTCTCATATCTTACACATAAGGCCATACAAAGTATTTACTGTAATAGATTGTTCTTTGTAACAAAAGGTATGTAACTGCTTTACAAATAGAAGACAGCTAACTGTTCATTTACTTTATTTTTTTACTTAGTGTACTTTGTAAATTTAGTTTATTTTGGTTTGCAACTGCAATTTTATCAAATTTTATTTATTTATAACTAATATAAGTTGGCATAATTTAATTAAAATTAATAAGAAAAACATATAAAACATATGAAAATTGTTAATTATATAGTTCTAAAGTTTTCTTTGAATCTAAGTTATTTATTACATAGAAAAAACAAAGAAAATATTTATTTTAATAAAAAGTCATCAGAGAAATTAAATATCTGTCAAGTGTATTAAATACTTGGCTTGGATGTCATGCCAACAGGTAACTCAATCAAAAACTTCAGACTAGGAGGCATTAAAGAGAATTAAGAAAAATATTTTAATCTTGCAAGTGCTTTCAACGTAAATATGTACGTCATCTTCAGGCAATTGAAAATTGAATAGAGAATTCAAACAGAACATTTAAATTTAAGCATTAATGATATTAGCCATTTTTGGAATATAACTATTAAAAATAAGATTTAAATTTTAGAATTAAAAACATTTAAAACTGGCACATATATGTTTTAAAACAAATAAACCCCGATTGGAATGGCTATTAATTAGGATCATTGAAATTAAGAAGCCTTTTTTGTAAATGCAAAAAATTGGCGCATGTGCACCTTAACATGCATAACATAAGAGCCAATTAGAATGGCTATTAAGAACAAGTAAATTTTAGACATTAAAATAAAAACATTTTGTAAATACGTATAAAATTTTTGGCATGCATGCACCTTAACAAAGACAGCATAGAAGCCGATCGGAATAGAGCCATAAGTGCAAGTTTACATTAAAATTTAAATATAGAAGCGCAGGACATACTTTAAAATACATAAAACACATGTAACATATAAAGACGCACATAAGTTTAAACCTTATTTTTAATAGTTATATTCCAAAAATGGCTAATATTGTTAATGCTTAAATTTAAATGTTTTGTTTGAATTCTCTATTCAATTTTGAATTGCCTGAAGACAACATACATATTTATGTTGAAAGTGCTTGCAAGATTAAAATATTTCTCTTAATTCTCTTTTAACGCCTCCGAGTCTGAAGTTTTTGATTGAAATATCTGTCAAAGTTAAATGTTTAAAGAACATTTATATTTTTGAAATAAAGTGGATGCAGAATTAAAAAATCTTAAAAACTACTTAAGAATTTAAAAACAATATTGCACAGTGTTTTAAAATAAAAAGACTATTTAAAAGTTTCAATTTACCAATATTTAAAGTTATATTACTGAATTTATAGTAGTTTGTAAATTATTGTGGAAAAAACTTAAAATCTTGAAAATTCACTTCTAAATTAGATATTTAGAAATAAATTTCTAATTTTTATAGTAATCATTAAATTTTGATAAAAGGACATTTTGACAAACTAATTGTCACACAATAGTTATTTGTCTGCCTGCTTCCATAAAGAGTCTGCACTGAAAGGCTTAAGGTTATGTCATTCATTGTCTTTAAGCAGGCTTTAGGTCTGTACATTCTTAGTAAGCAACACTCTCCCTAATCTCACATCCTGTGTACAAGANCAATATATTTATTTTGTTTGTGCAACATAAAAAAATAATTTTTAACGATACAGTAAACATGATTATTATTTTAAAAAAAATTTAGGCTTAACATCGACGAAAATTCAACATGGCGTCACAGGAAACAAATAAAAATTTCAACATCAAATAGATTAAGTTCAGTAGACTATCATTACAGCTTTCAGGTTAATATGCACTGAAGAGGGGTTTAGCATTTAAATAAGCCTGAAATGCATATGAGAAAACAATAAAAGAAGTGTCTAACCTGAAAGCTGTAATGATAATCTACCGAACTTAATAGTCATTCAGATTAAAGAGACATACATTCATAGAACGTAATAACAGCTACCATAACTGATATTTATTTCAATTATTAGTTATTAATGGCAGTTTATAGTTGATTACAGAAATCAATATTAGTAGCATTTTCTTGTTTCTGCTCCTGACACAATAAAGTGCTATAAATTAAGACACTTGGCGGTTTTTCTCATCTTTATTTAGCTGAGATGAGAAAAATCGTCAAGTGTCTTAATTTATAGAACTTTATTGTGTCAGAAGCAGAAACAAATTTCAAAGCACGGTTTCATATCATTAAAAGCATTTTCTTGTTTAGAGATGCATGAAGGCATTTTGATTTTCACAATAAATATTACTTTACATGAATTAATTTATATTTTTTAAAGAAATGACAATACAGTGGAACCTCGGTATACAACCTTAATCCGTTCCTGATGTTTGGACTTATACCAAATAGGACGTACACCAAACCAACCTTTCCCATAAGAAGTAATGTAAAAATGATTAATCTGTTCTCATGAAAAAAAATGGCTGGCTTTAAACACCTCGCGTTCCTGGATAGTTCCTGCTTGATTTTTCATGAGATCAGCATGTATCTTTTTAGCTTTCTCGCGAATAATTGCTTCTGATACGCTGTCTCTAGCATACTGTTTTTCAGTTATCCAAAGCAAAAGCAATTTCTCAACATAATCTAATGTCTTCAATCTCTGTTTAGAAATTGATTTAACCCCTTTTGCAATGTTAGCAGATTTAATAATGTCTTTATTTTTCACGATGTCGATATCGTCGTTCTCAGAATATGATATGGAACAGTTAAATCTCGAACACGCATGCCACCTTCATATTCCTCAACAACCTCTTTTTTCAGTTCCATTTTGATTCTAGTCATTTTTTTTAGTTTTCTGTTGCTTTTCACTTGCCTTTTTGCAATTCATGATTAATAAAAATAATAAAATTTTACTTACAAATTAAAATCAGAAGAAATATTTAACAAAGTTATAAACTGTGGCACTGCGAACATCAAGTCTAGTCTAGTACACCGATAGTGCTACTTGTTCATAGATGGCGCTTATACCGAACAAAAGTCGTATACCGAGCAAAATTTGTTTCGTCCAAACAGGACGTATTCCGAATTGGACGTATTCTAAAGCAGACGTATACTGAGGTACCACTGTATTTAGTTTATGAAACCTTTCTTACCTGTAATAATCTATCTGCCGGTGGCCTTTTTTTTGGATTTTTTGTAAGTGCTACTTTTACAAAATGATGGAAAGTTGGAGACCTTTTAAAAGAGAAAATTGTTCTTGAAATAATATATTACCATCTTAAAATATAATAATTTTCATACCATTTATTTTTATCTTTTAGTGTAGGTGACTTAAATCCTGATTTCGACATTAAAAAAAGTGCTCTCATTGGATGTAGATCAAACATGGGTGGTTGTAGTTCAGCTAGTTCAATTGCTGTTATACCTACGGCCCATATATCACATTGTTGGTTATAACCACCCTTCCTTTCGACAGCTGCAACTTCGGGTGCCATCCTTTAAAAGTATCAAACAGAACATTTTAAACTTACATTTTAACAAAATGAGTAGTTTGAGAAATAGAGATTCTGACCAATAAGGTGTTCCAATAAATGACTTTCTTTTACTTATAGTTGCTGTTATTTGAGCTGAGACACCAAAATCAGCTGTAAAATTAAAAGAATTTTATTAGAATTAGGATGCCATAACTTATCCTANACTTGAAAGAAATTTTTGACTAATTCACCTCTTAAATTCTCTTGGCTGCTAGAGAGTGATGCTGGAGCACTTGTACGTGATGGACGTGGTGGCTATAAAAAAATAATTAGTATAAAAAAATAATAATTAGAATAGTTTTAAAAAAAAGTTTAAAACTATTCATCTAAGTTTACAATTAGTTTTGAGTTTTGTGAACTTATGCATTCAGCTAAAAGAAAAATCTCAAAAATTTTAAACTAATTCTTGCTTTACTCTGTGGTATTCAAAAACCAATATTATTTTGAAAATTTTGTATTTTAGTTTGTGTGCATGAGAAACAACACTTGTTATAAGTTTAAATTTGTTTTATGTTTGCTTTAATTTATAATTAGATTGTTGAAATATGTCTAATTATATATGTTCTTGTCTGCTTGCTGAACAAGGAAATATTTGAATTTTTAGGTTGTTCAGAATGGCTTTAAAATTTGTAATGCTTAATATTGTAAACTTAAAAATTAATTTTAAAAAACTGGTTCATCATTAGGAGTTTTGATTCCTAATGATGAACCACTAAGGTTCAAAAAAGCTTTGATTTTTAAACATTTAAAAAAATTCACTTTGATAAAATGTAATTTTCTTATTATTTTTTGTATTTGTAGATATATACATTTTTTAATAATTTATAGACTCTTTTATTCATTTAACCTTTGTAGAGAGGATTAGTCAAATATGGCGCTATCATGATGTGGTGGAGAATAAACATGGGAAATTTTTTAAGAATTTTCCCACACATTTTTCTCGTTTTCATTTTTGAAAAAAATTTTTTAAACAGTTATGTCTAGTAAAAGAAAAATCTTTCTTTATTGTCACAATTCCTTTTTTATGTGAATTTTTTTTTCACAGTAATTTTTGGCGATATCCGCAAAATTCTTTTGCAGATATAGACGTCATTCTCCAGTGCCACATGATCGCCCTTCACGGGTATATCCATCGATCACTGCAGAGTGGTTAATAAAAACTGTTAGCATTCCCAAAGTAAATAGAACACAAAACTCAAAAAATTATACCCTGCTGCAAAATATATCATATAATAATTTCAATAATATAAAATGGAAAACTTATAATTCAAAGAAAATTATTCAAAATAAATGAAACAAAATCTTTGTTTCAAGTTTCAAAATAATAAAGGAAAATCTTAACATTTTACAAAACAAAATTTTTACATTTTTCTGAATGAGAAATTATTATTCTTAATATATGTGAAATAAATGTGTGCTAATGTTAAAAAATTTAATTTTTTACAATAATTTATTCAAAAATTTCCTTATTAAATTAAATTAAATTACATTATTATTAATCTACTTTAACATATATTAAATGTTTTTAGTTATAAACTATTTAAGTTAACGGTACTTGTAAAATTTTAAAATTAACTTGTAAATTTCAATTAGTAATTTTCATTTTCTCTCATATATATATTCATCATTAAAAAATAAAAATTGCAAGTAACAGTACTATAGTACAAAACCCTAAATTAAACCTTTTCCAGATAGCATAAAATCATGAAGCAATTAAAAGTGACATATGTGTATAAAACATTCAGGACATCCAGATAATTGTATTACATTATTCAATTTATTCTTTTGGTGCAATATAAACATATCTGTAATAAATGCATTATTAAATTTATATAAATAAAACAATAGATTTACATTTGTTTGATTTCTGATTAATTTTTAAATGGTAATCTGAAATCCAGAAAAGCTGTATGTTAGATCATTCCAAGTTTAGAATCTTAAACTACTGTATACTTTTGCTGCAGGAAGTTGTTATATGTAAATGTAATGTGCTATGGCTAAAATTCATTTCCTTAAAAAACTTCAATAGTTTGTGAATAAGTTTTCTTCTAACAAAATAATGCAAATTTTAATGAATTGAAATTACTGGATGCAATATAAATATATTCCTATTTTACAGAATACATTTCATTTAAACTGATACAGTGCTCAATAATGAGCAACACAAATTTTTATTAATTATACATGATGTTAAGAAATTAGACCATTGTTTCTCAACCTCTAACGAATCTTCACCCCCTTCAATAAGATCATTACGTAGTATCGCCCCCCCTTCACTACAAAATTCAGATGCTGAAGGACAATGCTAACGCAAAATTCGTACTGCATTGAATAGACTAGTGTTATTGTTATTTGTTTAATTATTGTACGATATAACGAATAAAATATCCAAGTATTCTTAATACAGTACAGCCTCGATAACTCGGCACTCCGGATAACTCGGCCACACCCTCGCAGGACAAAAATAACCTTAGATAGTTAATTTTCATCATAGACAGCTTTATGCCTCATAAAGTACTTTTTCTGAGGTCTGTCTTATCAGGTAAATTACTGTACACTATGTATTCATTAATTTTCATTTTCATGTAGTAAAGGCTCTATGCCTTCATAAAGTACATACTTTTCCTTTGTTTAAGGGTATTTGAACAGTTTATTCTCTGTTGTATTCTCAAGCAAACAATACATACAAGTACAGTACAGTATTTTCTGAGGAAACACTCATACTTATTTTTTTAACCCCATTCCCGATAACTCGGCATTTTCACAAACTCGGCCACCCTTCGGTCCACATTAGGCCGAGTTTTCGAGGCTCTACTGTATAATGTTTTACTATAACGCCCAGAAAATTGTTTTTTGCCCCCCCAAAATATAAATTGTTACTAATCACCCCCTCAACATGGAAAAACGCCCACATGGGGGGCAATATCGCCCCCGTTGAGAAACACTGAATTAGACCAACAAAATGAAATACAGGTAACCCCCGTATAACACAGTAGTTACGTTCCAAAAAATTGCCGTGTTATGCGAATCCGTGTTATACGAAACAAAGAACTAATACGAAAAGGAGGGTTAGGTTCCAAAAATTAAAAAACATGCTAGTATATTTTCATAATTAAGATCTTCATAAAAATTTCTTTAAGTGATACATATTAATATAAATTAAACAACGTTTCTTTGTCATCACTAAAAACACTATTAATTAACCGAGAGCGTTTTCTTTTTGGCAAGTTATCCTTATCCTCTGAGCATTTTTCTGCATTATCTTCAGATCCATGCTTTACCTTTTGCAAAATGTATGTAATTTTAGATTGCTTTCTTCTAGTTAAAAGGTCTTTATAAATTTCCTTATATGGTGCTATGCTTCCTAATGGTGCTAAGCACTTATGAAGAATAATGCAAGTATGGAATAAGGGAAAAACATTCGGCAACATTAGAAGCAGAAGCGTCGCAATCTGGCAACATTGAAACAAGTTTCGAGAAGGACCACGTGTATCGACAGAAGGCAAGAAGAGAAAATTTACATACTTAAGTACTAATAGTTCAAGAAAATAATAATTTTCGTGAACTATTATTACTTGAGTATGTAAAAATTTATTACATTTCATGTTGTACGAGGGTTTTACCCAATTCTCGAACCGTGTCAGAGTGAATCCGTGCTATAAAAGTACCGTGTATACGGGGGATGGTACCAATTCTCAAACCGTGTTAGAGCGAATCTGCGCTATAGAAGTGCCGTGTTATACGGGGGTTACCTGTAGGTATTAGAGTGATCAATGGAATCAATTTTGGCCCTATGAACACTGTCACAGACTCCTTATGAGATACAGGCTCCTAAACTTTTGGTAATGGTTGCTGCTCTAGTGCATACCTTACAGAGAAGTCTGACATTATTATTTTAAACATTTGTTAAAGCTTTGCATGGAGTGCTATTAATTCACATTGTTCTAAATACCATCGTAAAAACACACCATGCTGGATAGTCTGCAGCACTTATGCATTGTACAAATTGACAGTGAAAGGGATCTGGCATGTGTTTATGTAGCATGGTCCAGACATTAATGTGATTTATCCCAACAATGTGGGCAATAACTCATGCTTAGTAAGGGCTGTTGCTCCAATGTTGAATCACTATTTCTTCAAAGTTGTCAGTTTTAATCAGGCATAATCATCCTTATCAATTTGATCTTTTAAAAAACACCCCTTTTCTCACAATTAATTATGGATTGTGGCAAACGTTAAATGGTGAGGTATGAAGTGCTGGGAATACCATTCAAGTCTGCACTAATCATCCTTTACATTTAGTTTTCCCATAAATAACATGATATTAGCCAGCTCCTGATATGTAAATTTCCCCATTATGTTTGATATACATACACCTGATTGACTTAATTACCTGATTAAACACACCTGATTGACTTAAATGTCAAATAGATTTTGTACCTTTTCTACAAGTGGACATGTTGAAGAAATGCAAATCAGAATACAAAAGAGGTTTAAAAGAGGGCAATTTAGCATAAAAATACAATTTTTATTAAGAAATGTACATTTTCCCCCATCTGAATAGATATTATAAAAACATTGCATTCAAATAAAAATACAGTAATAGCGTCGATTTTCCGAAAGTCAATCATCCGAAAGAATTCAGATAAAACATTGCATTCAAATAAAAATACAGTAATAGCGTCGATTTTCCGAAAGTCAATCATCCGAAAGAATTCAGATTCGGCAAATTTAAATTTTTGCCAGTGCTGTGGCGCTTCAATCTTTGGCTATGTCATGGGCTACTCAAATATTTTACGTTTTTGATACTAAATTAACATCTGAAGTATAATTTTTTATTATTTTTATATTTTTCAATATATTTATTTTGTTTGTACAAAATAAAAAAATAATTTTTAACGATACAATAGTCTTTGTTAAGCTTAACATCGACGAAAATTCAATGCGAAGTGACACGCAACGGATAAAAATTTTGACATTGGATACGTTAAACTACTTTTTCGTACGTAAATCAGTTATCCGGACAACCCCAGTTCCCAATTGATTCGGAAAATCGACGCTCTACTGTATTTATTTTTGAATTTTGGACTTTTATTCTTTAATGAATTAAATTATTTTGCCAACTACACCTTTTTATTGTTTATTACACTTAAAATTGGACAATCAGTACAGAAATAGCAATTAACAAACATACTCTGTTGTGATTCCAGTTTTCACTTTTCTAAGATGCATCTGTCTACATTTTTAAAAACTGCTACACCATGAAATAATGATGGTGGGCTTTCCTACTCTACATGCACGCTATGCAGGGCAGCAAAGAAACTTTAGGAATCTGTATCTTTTAAGGAATTGTAACTCCCAGTTCATAGGAAATAAATTTTTTTGCTGACCCCCTCTATCACCCCTTTCATTTTGTTGATCTAATTTCTTAACACCCTGTATATAACAAATATATTTATTAAATCAGTTAATTCAATTTTTGCACTTGTATAATCTGTATGATCAAAAGTATAGTAAAAAGCAATAAATTTTCAAATTCCAAAGTTGCTTTAGTAGAAAAAATTATAGGCAAACATAGTAAAAATTTTCATTTACAAAGAGCTATCTTCAGGATAATTCAAACAGAAAACAAACCAAATAATCAATACTAATTGAATATGTTAAAAATATAATTTATTTATGTACATAATTTTCAAAGAAAGAAAAAAATATGTACATGCAAAAGTATTTAAATCATATCTTGTAAACTTACAATGAGAGAATTNTTCGTTTATTTTTTGCTAATATTTCAATTATTTTAAATTACATTTATCTAAATGATAAATTTTAACATACAATGATTTTTGGAGAAACCACTGCAAGAGGTGAAGGTTCTTTATTGCTGCTTTCAATTATTAGTTCCTCTTGGGCTTGACTTTTTTCTAAATGCAGAGGATCTTCCTGTGAAACTTGTATGGATTCATCATCTGTGGTATCATAAACTATAAAATGAGATAGATAAATATATAATGTTATTTAATTTTTATCATTTAAGTTAATAAATGATAAAAATTACCATCTGGTGATGAATTAATAATTGGTTCATCTGCTCCATTCTTAAAAAACTGAAACAGTTCTTCTAATTGTTCTTCTATTTCAGACATTGAGGGTCTTTTAATTGGATCTTTTGACCAACATCTATATGTGAAGGAAAAAAAAATTCTATTTTAATTCAATATTGTTACTTTTTTCAAAAATTTTCCATTTTAATAGTAGATTCGACTATATACTGGGTAGTTTTACAAATTTTCTGCTGTTTATTTCGTTTATTTTTTGCTAATATTTCAATTATTTTAAATTTTCCAAATACAGTTGTGCTTACCAGTGACCGAAAGGATAAAACTACCGAACACTGGTACTTGTCGTGAGTTCGTGCCTCACCAACAGCCTGGCTATCAGGAATTTTCTAAGTTCTTCATGTGTCTAATGCCTCAATAGNGCTGATGGTATTAAAATATATATAGTCAGCCCTTGACTTTCGCACATAATTGGTTCCTGAAAGTGTGTGTGAATGTTGAATGTTTGAAAGTAGAGGGATGTAAAAAAAAGTGCACCAAAAACTGTGTTTAAAATATTTATTCCTTAATTTTTATTAATTCCTTAATTCCTTAAACTCTTATTTTTCAAAACTGCAAATATCGTAGATCTGTTTACATCATATGAATGTCTGATTGAAGCAAAAGATTTAGTTTTCAGAATGTTTAATTATTTCCACCTTTGTCTCGATCGTATGAAGTTTATGAGTCCTTAATTTCTTTTTGTTCGTATCAACACTGCAGTTTCTCACTCATGTTTATCAATTTAAAGGATGAAATATTTAAACATAAACAAATAAATTGGCAAAACAAACAAAACACACAACACATTGACGCACACCCTAATGCAAGACAAACTGTTTTGACCTCTTGCTTGGAATAACACAATAGTGATTAGGATTCCAAGAAGTCTGCTATTGCAGGAAGTAATGTGTGGCAGAGAACGTAGAGCAAGGTACCGCACTTTGTAGTATAAGCATTCTGCATGGAAGGAAATTTTTTCATTATCAACAAGTATTTAAAAAGTTGAATTTTTAAAAATGTGCAAAATAGCAAATCGTGCGAAAGTCGAGGGCCACTTGTATATGGTGAGAGTAAAGACATTTTTGTATGCTGGTCATTGTAAACATTGAAAGATGAAGATGATTTTGTATCTTCAATACATATATATAAAATAAAATGTTTTCATTTAGTTAACTTCTGTGCGAATTTAATTTATCAAAAATTTTAATTTATATATCTATGGAAGCTGTGAAAGCCTATAAAAATTAATCTTTGATTTAGACAAAATGCAAACTTTTATTTCATGCAGTTTTTTGAAGAAACTGAGTAAAATAAAAATTTTAAAAAGTACTACTAAATTTATTTTAAAAAATTGGCTGACAGATTTGCACATTAGTAAAAATACATAGAAAGACTAAAATATCTTCACTCTCACCATATCCGATCACTGGGAATGACAATCTTCCACTGCATAGACAACCTTTCTTTAGAGGCTAACTCCTGCATAAACATGCAAAACATGAGTCTAAAAGTTCTCTGGTGACAAGCCTTAAAAAAAAAAAAATAATAATAATAATCGTTTTGAGCTGTCACCAGAGAACTTTTGACTCACTTTTTCTTTAGAGGCCACACCCCTGCATGTTTATGCAGGGTGTAGCCTCTAAAGAAAGGTCGTTGTCTGCAAGGAAAGATTGTCATTCCTGGTGATGAACATGGTGAGAGTGAAGACATTTTAGTCTTTCTACGTATTTTTGCTAGTACTACTACAAGTAAATGTTTTAATTAATTTCAAGACCTTGTCATTAATTCTTCAAGTGGTTTTGGACATCCTTCAATTAGAGGAGGTCTCTGCCCTAATAAAATAATAATAAAAAATTTTAATAATAACATTTTAAATGAAAGATAAGAAAAATAATCTCATGCTGATTTTAAAATTCATACCAATATGTACAGCCCACATTAAACGAAATGCTGGTCCTCCAATTTCATCAAAAGGCTTTCTTCTTGTAAGAACTTCCCAAAGAATAATTCCCCAACTAAACACATCACATTTTTCACTATAAGAGCAACCTAAAAAGTGTGTAACATTTATATATTTTATGCACTTTCCTTGTGAATTTTAAGCTTACATTTATAAGTTAATTTTTGTGAGCCTGAAGCAACATTCAAGAAATAATCTTAACTATTAGACTGTTTGTGCTTATTAATTACTTATTCTTGTGTTGGAATAAATATTTAAAATTATCTGAAAATAAAATTTATTAGAACTATATAGTATACTAAATATTTAAAAATAATATTATCTTTTATATAGCTTACATTCAAACACTTCTGGAGCCATCCAAGCAGCACTTCCTTTGTTATTTGTCATAACTGTGTGTTGATCACAGGCAGTTCCAAAATCACAGATCTTTAATATCGTACCACCCATTATAAGTAATAAACTATACGAAATTTTTTTGTATTAAAACAAAGCAAAATTTCATAAAACTATCTTATAAATAAATTATTACTTTGGAGGTTTTAAATCACGATGAATGAGGGCTTTAGGTTTCATATTATGTAAATATGCTACTCCTCTAGCACATTGTAATACCCAACTTATTGCATGTGCTGCAGTGTATTCTACTTGAGGTGAGCAATGTAAAACTAAAATAAATAAAGAAACTCTCATTAATATTCAAATTTATCCCAATTAGGCCTATTATAAAAATAATAGCACAAAAAATTCTAATCTACTTCTTAAGCATAAGTATCATATTAACAAATATAATTTATTTCATTGCTGAGATTCTAAGTTCTCATTGTGATTGTTTTGCTTATAAATATGTATCAAAGTTATTTTTATTGATACTTTTAGAAAGATTCAACAAAAACCTAATTTTACAAATGAAAACATTTTGTAAACATTCTACATATTTAATTCTGCAGTCCTACTGCAATTATATTTTATCAACAAATGTGATACTAATAATAATTAGCTACTGTACTGTTCTTTGTAATTACAATTTTGATAAAATGTAAATAATAGTAGTTACAAAAAATTTATAATTGTAGTTTTATTGAATATGATACGTCCATTGTTGTTGTTTTGTTTTATTTGTTATTTTCAATACACAGATATTCTGTTGCTTCCAGTATAATAAAATATAGTTACAGTATACTCTTGTTAGACTAATTCTGCCTAATCTGAAACCAAGTTTGTTCATTTTGCTACTAAAATGTTCCTGCCAAAAACAAAGTAATCACAGATTATTTTTTACAAGCATAATGAATTTGTAAAATTATTATGTACCAAACATTTTAACACAAAATATATTTACCAAATACAAAATAAGGTTTCAAATTAGATAAATTTATGGAAACTTTTATGTGGACCAGTAATTATATGCAATTATGAATTATGCTTATATATGGCTATCTAAAGTTACTGTACATAACAAAGTACATATTATGACTACTATTTATATGTCACCTGTAATCAACTGTGCCAGCATCAGTTTAGTCAAATATTTTTTTGCATAAAAGTAAAATTTTTTGCGGACAGGCAGTTGAGAAACATTGTTTTAAATTTATATTACACTGAACATTAATAGTACAGTGGCCCCTTGTTATATTGCGGATTCGAATATATCAATTTTTGTGTCTGTCAAATTTCAAAAGCACTTGAGTCAACAAATTTTAAATTACCAATTGCTATTGAATTTCTTTTTGCAACAAAATATATTTTATTCCTATTATTGTCCTTTAAACTAACCACTGCAGGTGAAACAATAAATTCATCAAGATCTAAATAAGCAAAGCAGGTGAACAGATCAATTATCATTTATGTTTCCTTTTGATTAAAAGTTGTTTATTTATTGGTTTTTAAGTAGCAGTACTGTCTCCTCATTTACAAGTTTATGTGAATTTGAAATTTCACACCTTTATGTGGATTGATGGTATTGCATCAATTCACAGAAAGGTGTGAAATTTCCAATTCCCCTTGTAATGTGTAAGGAAAAGATTTCTTTATTTCTGGACAGAAAGTTCTAAAGTTTTTACACAGCAGTACTTTATTTTGCTTTTTAGAAAATTTTTACTCTAATTTTATAAGTTTTGACATTCTATTATATGTTCAATATTTATTTTTTTAATTTTTAATTAAGGTAAACGCACCAGTAGTGAACACTGCATGAGTACTGGACACTTTGAACTTCAAATATGAGTAATAAGGATGTAGATGGCTTCAATGTTCAAACATACAAATCATTCAGTAGACAGAAGTTCTGTCTACTGAATGATTTGTATGTTTTAATTTTTAATAAGCAATTTATTTTGAAATACAGTACTGTATAATAAAATTGCAACTGATATTTTGTTTTTATATCCACATTATATGTCTTTAAATATCATTGTTAAAAAAACAATAATGTTAAATGGGTGTTCATGGTATCGACGTTTACATAAACATCATTTAATATGATATAACCACGAATAAAATTCAGTATTGCAAAACTAAGCTTATTTTATATCAGAAACATTTGCTGATGAAAGAAGAGAGGATAGAGATTCTATAGCATGTATAATCTGTTTAGTAGAAGTCTATAATTTTTAGTACTGGGTTATTTCATTTTTATGAATACAAATTTAAAATTTTAGGAACAGAATTTTTATTGTTATTTAAATAAATATATAATGAAATAAAGTGTGTATAGTTATTCTATTTCTTCATAGCTCTGCTAATTTAAACAACTCTGTACAATAATACACAGTGCACTTTTACTCAAATTAGCAAGAGTGCACCATGTCTTTAAACAGAATAAAATTATATATTACTGAACAATTTTATAAGTAGACATGAATAAAATTACCATAAAGAGATATTAAATCTAATGAAAAATTGAACAAATTTTATACATTTAATTTTGTCACACAAAACATTTAATTTTACATGACATCATTCAATTGTTTTAATTCTAATCCAGTGTTCTTTAAAGAAAATTATAATAATAAATAAGAAATTTAATTACTTTTTCTTATTACTAGTAGCCTTAATATAAACAGATGATAATTTTACTGAATTAATATAGAAAAAAATGGATTCATATTTATAAAATTGTACATTAAAAGAAATAATTTTTATATTGTACTCATCAAAAATAATAGAAAAAAAAATTAAACTTATTGTTCATTTATTTCTTTGATAAAAATACAACTATGATATTTTTATCAAAATATAAAGAAAAAAACTACACTTAAATTATACTTAATAAAAAACTTTTTTGATTATTTCATGTTACATTTAAAATATCTAATATGTATATAATTTCTTTTTTCTATAAAGATAATGAAAAAATATACCGTTATATAATGATCCACCTTCTGCAAATTCCATAACTAAACAAACCTAAAAAAATAAATCATATATATTGAAAAAATTCAAAATTAAATCTTTTAAATATTATGAATATTAAATGTTAATTAACCCTTCGGCACGCGCGTGCTCGGTCAATTAGACACCAATTTAAAAAATTAATTAATAAAAATTTAGCATTGAAAAACGGGTATTTTTACTTTAATCCAGTTCTATGATAAGTTTTTAGTCAAATTTAGTCAAAAAATTTTAATTTTGTTATAATTTTGTTGATGATTTTAATTTTTTAATATTAGAAGGTAATTAGCATAAATTACAGTGTGTCGTGTTTCATCTTTGCTCCCGTTCAAGTTTATTGTTCTAGACTCGCGACAATGTTTGTTTTTACTTCTGCTGGTGTTTCCGCTTTTATTTCACCCTCGTCCGTTTTGGTTACAGACGATGGGGAGACGGGCGTCACATGATCACTTACCTCACTTTTTACCACAGAAATTACCGTACCTTGAAAGTTTTATTTTTTTTCTCGATTTTAGTTATTATTAGCTAACTTTTTTTGATAGATTCTGATATACATGTGTTTTCTGAACTTGCAGATATTTTTTTAATTAAGTTTCACAAATTTATGTTTTTTTATTTGCATTTTATATACAAAATATAAGGAAATTGAAAAATGAATTAAATGTTATCAGAAATGCTAAACTATAAATACAATGTGTGTTAGAGTACTATTGCGAATAGATATAGTCAATTATTTTGTAAACACATTTGTTATTTTAATTTTTATAAATTATTTAATTTGATGCAACGTGTTGCGCTCAGAATCGATCAATTACAGTCGCGCGTTATTTAAGATGGCGGCGGGACCCGATTCAATTAATTCTTCATTTCAGATGTTAATTAGAGAGTGCTATTTTAATGTAATTTTAGACATAGTGTATGTTTATTATAATTAATGAATTTATATAAGAATAATATATATTACTGACTGTAGTTTAATGCTTACTTGGCGCAATGTAACGGTAAAATATATAAAGCAAATTAATGCAATTTTTTTTATATTTACTAATATACAGTAAATGCTTGACTACGATTAAATCCTCGATTTATACGTTTTCTCTACTATCTAACAGTATAAAATACTTGT